TTACTGACTCCTCGTCCCCTTCTCTGCCTGAGGGAAAAAAAAAGAACAGAGGCATTAAATCCTATGGGCTCCCTGCTCTCCTCTTCATTCTGAAGACATGAAACCATGGCAACTATTCAAAGCCACAGAGTCAGCTGATGACAGCCAGGACTAGAACCCTGCTCTCTCAACTCACACCATCCCCTTCCATTCACAGGAGAACTAACACAAATAAGACGATTTGCATGATTTGCATAAAGTACTCTAGATAATCACTGGCACATAAATGCCTCCCCAAAAATGCCAGGTGTGGTTATTAATTGTAGCAGCCATGGCATTGCTTTCAGACAGTCCATTCATGTACCCACAGAATCCACAGAGTGCCTGTTGTGAGGCAGGCAGTCGGCAGTTGCCTGGCCTTAGACGGTAAACATGAATATGAACATGGCATAGCTTTGTTCCCTGAGGCCTATGTGGTATATGGGACCGTGATTAGGCGATAGCTGAGGGGGGAGGAAAGGATTCATTAGAGACCATGGGTGAGCTATCTATTCCTGGCGTCAGGATGCAATGACAAGAAATTGGTATCGGAAGATGAGCTAAAGTTAACAAGGGGAAGTGGGAGTGGACATGAGGAGAAAGGAAGGGCACAGAGGGTTTTCTAGGCAAAGAGATGCTCAAAAACACAAATGTGAATGAAGTCAAGATGCATCTAGAGAAAGAATATAACATTATCCTGCTCGATAGGATGGGGTGGTGTCTGAGAAGGTTACCAGGCATGGATTAGAACAGGCACACTCATCTCACTAATGACAAACAAGCCATAGAAAGGAAGCTGTACTTGATCCCAAGGAGTAGAGGATAACGCATAGACTTATTGGATATCACAGGACCTCTGGTAAAAATGGGATTAGAAGGGGCTGCAGCAATGGCAGGGTCAGGCACCCTTCCAGCATTTGTTCCATTCTGTCACATTCCTAGGTTCTCATCTTAAGTCACCAAATAAGACCTGCATTAATAGACTCATGAAGAAGAAAATAAGATGAAAGTTGGGAGCTATGGCCAATCAGAGCAGAGTAACTGAACAATGGCTTTCCCTGGCCACTTGGGTCATTACCCAAAAGGCTTGCAGCGCCATGTAGTGAGATGAAGATCTTAACCACTGACCAGATATGTGACCCTGGGCAACCTCCATTTTCCCATCTGTGCAACAAGGACATTTACTAAGTAACGGGAAAGCTGCCTTGCAGTGCTCCTGTTCATGCTTCCATTACTTGAAATACATATCCTCCATGATGCTTTGCTTTGCCCCTTAATGTTTACTAAAGCAGAGCAGATTGTTCTGCTGTTCTGGCTGAACAAACACAACTCACCAAAACCAGGTACCCTGCACAATGAACAAAGATGCTTTCTCTTCTGGGTTCTTGTCAGTCAATCCAAGGAAGCACTGGCTCTGATACCAGCCAGAGAAACCTAGTTAACTGGTAGCCTATGGATGACTCAGATCTTCAGGAAATCAGGGACCCTTTCGCAGGCTCTCTGTTCTTAGGCCTGCAGAAATAAACTCAGAATTAAACTCACCAGAGAACCACAGCACATTGTCTTTATCCAACAGCCCTTGTGTCTGGCTGAGGGATGGGAGGAAGTTCCAAAGGTTTGGGGCAGGTAAACAAAAAATAAATAAAATAAAACAAGCTAGGGTGGGAGAACAGCAAACCTTAAGTCTGAACTGGTTTTGACTGGAAAATGCTCTCCCATCCATGGCTTTAGGAAACAGGCCACACAGCATCCAGAGGCGCACAGCTGCATGGAACAATTCAAAAATTGCCTTGTTGGATCTCAACGTGCCAATTTTTCAAATCTAGAGCCATTTTCACTATTACAGTGTGTGCAGCCTAAGCCTGGAGAATTTTCTTCTGGGAGGGAAAATTGATGCCGGGGTTACCATTAACCCCGATTATCACAGCACTCCCCATTCCAAAACTATTCTTGGGAATCAAAGGGCCTAGAAGAAGCTATAGAAGCCCATGGTGAGGTTGGTGCCCAACTTCACAGGTGCTAACGGCCAAAGTCCATTAGCCCCAAGTCTCAGAAGGGTAGGAGAGTGAGTGAGACGGAGGGGGAGAAAGAGAAACAACACTGACAGGATCTGGGCATGTGTTTCCCCAGGAATTCCTCAGCTCTGCATGTTGGCCAGTGCACTGGACTTTGCCTGGGAGAGCGGGCACTTGCATGGATTGACCAGCAGGAGCCAAGGCTAATCTCAGCAAAGAGTCCTCTGATTTAACGTGTTCTCTTCCACATTGCTCTGTCCAACAGGAGCCACAGCTTGATAAAGGAGTGTTCCAGAGGCTACCTATTCCATCTCCAACCCTGTATCCAGCTGAACAGGGCCTGCGTCTCTCTGTCATCTCAAAGGGTCAGCAGTTGGCTCTGTCTACCCAGGGAATTTCATATAGAAAATAACTCCAACCGATTATGAACCCAACCAAGAGCCACGACAACAGTAGTTGCTGTGACCTCCATACTCCCAAGCCTACCAGCCCAGCCAGAAGGCCGAGATGACACTGGTTTCTGCAAAACAAAGAAAGAACAGCAACTGTATAGTTAAAGTGGGGGAACGTGTGACCAAAGAGAGCCACTGTGGTGACTTCATTCAGATGACCCTCAAAGTCTCAGACATCTGAATACTGGGTCCCCAGTTAGTGGCACTGGTTAGGGAGGCATAGAAGGTGTGGACTGCAGGTGGCCTTTGAGCATTTAAAGCTTCCTGCCATTTCCAGTTCCCTCTCTGTTTCCTGCTTGTGGTTCAAAATGTAAGCTTTCAGCTTCCTGCTGTCATTGCCTTGTGTTTGCTCTAGCATCATGGACTCTAAACTTCTGGAGCCGTAAGTCCAAACAAACTCCCTTTTTCCCATAAGTTGCCTCAGTCATGGTATGCTATCACAGCAGTAGAAAACTAATACAGCCACCCATCAGCTGATCTCATGAGCAAGACTTTCCTGTGTTCTGATGGGATTAGAAGTGGGCGCTGGTCCTGAATCTAGAAAACCCAAGGCTGGCTTTGAGCTCTGCAACTTGAACCTTGGACTTGAGATGGTGTGTGAGCTTCGGTTCCTTTTCCTTTTGCCTGGTAGCAAAAACAAATGTCCCACACAGTTGTTTGTGTTTGTACACATTAAATGAAGTGATCGCAGGGAAGTGATGTACAGCGCTCAATACATTATATACACCTGTATATGGTATTGTGCCCACCAACAAAATGGTTCAATCAGCTGTGCCCTCTTACACAAATGTTCAATAAAAAGAATTGCTGAAAGGAATTTGATAGTAACCACATGTTACACACACATACACACACACTAGTTTGGCATAAGAATTTCCTTCAATTTTGGTATTGTAGCTGCATTGTTGGCCAGCTCTGAATGCATTTTAGTTTATAACAGTATCCTATAGCCCCAGGTGCAGACCCTGCCTGCACCTCCAAAAGTACTGAGCGAGACACAGGCCTGAGGCACCCTCAGCATCAGTCTGCACTTTCTTGTTGTTGTTGCTTGTTTTTTGAGAGAAGGTTTCTCAGTATAGCCCTAACTGTCTTGGAACTCACTTTAGAGATCTGCCTGCCTCTGCTTCCCGAGTCGTGTGCAGCCACCACTGGCTGGCTACCTATAGCCTGAGCTTTTAAAAAATGTTCCCCCCTCCCAGTCTCCATTTTGGTTCCTTCTCCAGACCATCTGCTACAACAACCACATCTGCTCGTGTAGTTGGCTTCCTGAAGGCCACTCTATTACTGAAGCACTGGGGCGAGCACATACTCAGGAAAGAAAACAGCTGTCTTGAGCCTAGTTCTGTGCTGGACCCTGGGGTAAGAGTGAGTGAACCAATCAGATCTTCCTGAGTCGTACCCTCTAGAGGCAAAAAGGCCCTAGTGGCAAAGGACAGGCGCACTGGGAGGCAGCCGGACAGATGGGGTCACTCGGAGGAGGCCCAAGAGGAACACCCCGTAGCAGAGTCAAACAGAGGTGCTCCGGTGCCCACACACACTGCGAAGTTGACCTCTCTTAGACACCGAGTGTTTAGTGCCGTAGGGGAGGGGAAGGGAACGCAGGGCTAAGTGCTGACGGAACGTCCCTGTCAACACAATGTTCCGCCTGGCCGGGCCTTCATATATAAAGATATTTAATGAATTAGTTAATTAATGAGAGGAGTTTGATTGATAGATCATATGGTGCTCGCAGCAGGGTGAGTCTGACCCTGCTATCGTCGCCTAGGCTGTAATCCGTCCCCCTCATTGGTCGGGAGAGTGCGGTGGCTCCGGCAATTTGCATGCATTTAATGTAGCTCTTTAATAGGATGTAATGTTAGCGAAAGCCAAAAGCGCAGCAGCTGTAACTTAAAAGACAGCCCCATTACTGCAAGCCTTATAATTAGGGTAAGAGGGAGACTCGGGCTGCCATATGTTAAACTCTTTTGAGGTTAATAGCTCTGTAAGATTTTTGCAATTTAAAAAAATTACACTTGAAGGATGATGACAAGGCTCATCAATGAGGCGACGTTGTACCGGAGGGAAGGGACAGGAAGAGCTCATGGCCCCCAAGGCCCCTGTCCCCTAGGCAGGGCAAGGTGGCCCCTTTTCCCTACACAAATAACCTAGGCTCCCCTCCTGCCTTCTCTGAGCTTTCTCCACCCCAACTCCATTAGCGCAAAGCAGCGCCCTGGCTTCTGGGAATCCGATCTCTCTCTCCACCTGGCTTCCAGCGCACCCGGTTTCTGCCTGTCCTCCGCACCCAGCCGGAGGAGGGGGATGGAGGGGGGGCGAGATAAGGCGCGTGCGCACGCACCCGGCTGGGAGAAGCGCCCCGCGTGCTTACCTCGCAAAGTCCCTGGAAACTCCAGAGCAATTACGGGTCCCCGCAGGTTACCTGGCGTTGATTGCACAGCCGGGGCCGAATCAGGGAACACGCAGCAGGCATTGCCCGGGGGTTGGGGGGTAGGGGACAGGGAATTTGCTTGGTAATTACCTGGCATAAGGCCTTGAGGGTGTTTGCTACCTCGGTGCCACAGCCCGTGTGGCGAGAGGAGTCTGGTGGATCCGGAACCACAAGAACTGAGCAATGCACTTAGGTCCAGGAACGTGGCTCCCTAGTCCCTAGCTATGACAGGTGACACGGAGGATTCTCTCCTACTGGGTCCCCAAAAAAAGAGGGACATCGTACCCTCCCAAGCATCTGGTGCCTCCCCGAAGGCTGCCTCTCCAGCCATCCAGGGGAAAGGAAGTAGGGCAGCCTCTTTGGGAGCTGGAGCAGCCTGCTCCCGAACATTCCCCTCCCACTGCCGATGCTCCGCGGAGGAGCTTGGCAGACTGTCCGCTTGGCAAATCCTCTCCCCCAGTTCTGTCTCCAGCATCCTTCCCTTCCCCCCCGCCACGGCGCGTAGGTGCCCGACCCAAATTTCTTGTGACATTCCAGACAAAACAACATGGAGGAAAAGAAATCCCTTTTATTTTTTTAAGGGGGCTCTTGCTGGAAAATTACAGGAGGGATAAAATTACTGCTAATTGCACAATTATCTGATTATCTCTGGTACCAAAAATAAATGAGATCCTTCCCCCCTCCCAGCCACTTATAGAAGTCTCAGGGAGGCTCTTAGAGAAGATACGGGTCTGTCTTGTCAAAGCCTGGAGGGACCAGAGACGAGGAACAGAGCTGGGAAGCACAGACCAGGACACAAAGCAGGTGCCAGAGGAGCAGAGGCAGGGCGAGCCAGACAAGGGTAGTGATCGGGGAGCGTTCTCGGAAATTTTGTAACCCAGAGCTAAAAGTGTCTGAGTGATCCATTAGTTCAAGCATTAGCCTGGGGTTTACATGGGAGATCTCTAGAGAAAGGACAGATAAGAATAGGCTGTTGACAAGAAGGCACGTTGGGTGCCTGGACAAATCTCTGTCCTCTCTGAGCTCTTAGCTTGTGGGGAGAGGTGGCTTCTGTTGCCAAGGTTAAAAAAAAAAGTTGTTTGTTTTGGACATTTTGATTTGAAGTACGACTAACTGCAGAAATCCAGCCCAACAGCATCAGCTAACTTTTGTTAGTGCCTTAGGATTTAAAACACATTTTCTCTCATCATTCTTTTTCCTATCCTGTTCTCTCTCCATCTCTTCCAATGACTTCAACCAAGATCCAGAAAATGAAGAAGTAAAGTCTCAGGATTCTTCCCAGGAACACCTACTGTCTGAGACTAGCATGGCAATGCTGTAAGATTTTCTAGGGGAGAGGAGCCAGGACTTGAGGGATGTCACTACACAGGTCCAGAGACACAGCAATGGCGGCGCTGAAGCAGTGTTTCATGCTTTTCTTTATCTACTGGGTTTGGGCAGGTCACTAGTACAGCAAGGCTTTCTTTCCGCTTGGATGTAGCCCAGTCATCTGGAGCTATTTTCCCACGGGAAGGCACTTCACTTGGTGCCCCACACTAAAATGTCACTCTGAGGTCAACAATAACACCTCGATCCGTTAATGGAAAAGCCATCAGAAGGCCTTGGGAGCAGAGTCCACAGTACTTCCTCTTCTGCCTCATCAACCAATCAGGATTGGGAAAGACTGTGGTCCTTTTTCCGCATCCTCGGATTCCCACAGCTAGAGGAGGAAGAGATTGGGAAGTTCCATCTCCACGAACCCAGGGAGTGCCCTGCAAGGTGGAGGACCTCAGCAGCTTCCCAGACACTCCTTGGCAGTCTAAGCCAGAGCTCCACATTCACCCTGTCCCCATCATGTGCCCTCCTGCAGAGCAGTGGTGGCTGTCTCAGAATTACCACCCACAGATCGATATCTGGGTGATTACTGGCCTTGTGCAGCCAGCAGAGCTCATTCTTGAGACATGTGGAGATGCATGCAAGGACATAGGTTCCCTTCATTATAACCGCTAGGCCCTAGGTGGGAGCAACCCAATGCCAGAGACTCCTGGGACTGGGAGCCAAAGGCATTTGTGAACACACAGCTCTGAACTGAGGTTGCATGTGGAAGACAGAAGCCAATTGCCCAAGGGTGGTGCTCAAAAGGGGAGAGGCTTGGCTGGACCTCTTTACTCCTCTAACCAGTTCCCACCGTCCTTCCTCCTACGCTGGAGGAAGCCCACTGGAGACAAGTTAAGGAAAAGTAAACAAACTGACTTTTTCCCACCGGATTCTGCTTAGTAGGAAGTCCCTTAGGCAGAAGAGGTCAATGCCCAGTCAAGCAGGATGTGTGGGACCAGAGTATAGCTTAGGGTTATGTCTTGACAGCAGATTCCTTAACGAGGCTCTAGGCCGGAAGTAAACTCCTTAAGGCTCAAGTCCTCCCTTATCCCTGTGTTGGAGGTCCAAAGACAAACCAGACTCAGTCTTGACAAGCATATCACCTTGAAGAAATGACACAGAGGTGCCCATTAGATTTGCAGAATAATAGATGCCTGTAAGTTCAACACTCCAGGACCAGAGAGTGATGACTTGAGCAAGACTTCCCAGCATGCTGGTGGCAGAAGGACCAAGTAAGTGTATAGTCTGGTGTCCTGACTCTCAGTCCCACCACAACATGAATTCAGTACATGTCCCTCTGTCAGTTAGCTTGGGCAGAGCACCTAGCAGTCCTGGCCTTTGACACCTCCCTCATCTGCTTCTTTCTTACATTTCTCATGCATTAAGATTGGTAGCTACCCTTTCATCTTTCCTGCTAAACCAAACTTTTTTTTCTTTTAAGAAGAAACAGATACCATGAAGTTATTAAACTCAAAGAGAAACCTCCTCTCCAGCACCTTCTGTTGTCATAGAGGAGAGCTATGGGATGGATGGATGGATGGATGGATGGATGGATGGATGGATGGATGGATGGATGGATGGGTGGGTGGGTGTGTGGATGGATGGGTGGGTGGATGGATGGATGGGTGGGTGGATGGATGGATGGGTGGGTGGATGGATGGATTGATGGATGGATGGATGGATGGATGGATGGGTGGGTGGATGGATGGGTGGGTGGATGGATGGATGGATGGATGGGTGGGTGGATGGATGGAGAGGAACTAGGGACAGGAAGACAGAGGTACAAGTCAGGGTAGATGGTGTATTAGTTACTTGTATGCTGCTGTGAGAAATGTTCTGATAAAAGCAACCCAGGGAGAAACAGATACATTAGGACTACTGTTCCAAAGAGATAAGAGTCCGCCATGGCATGAAAGCCATGGGGGAGGCAAGACACCAGGCAGGGGGAGCATGACAACAGGAGCAGGAAGTTGACTGCTCTTATTTTCCAGCCCCCTTGCTCAGCCCTCACCTTGCACAGCACATGGTCACATGTTGCTGAGTATGCAGCTTAGTCATTCATCATGGCTTTGTGTATTTGTGTCATCAATATTGTACTTGAAAGCAAGTACAACACATTGAAGAGACCAGGCCCCTGTTTTAGCAGCCATGACAGGCTAACATGTGATCTCCTGGCCATGTCTCCTGACTCACTAGGAGGTCAGATACCCTCATGGCAAGGAACCAATCAAAAGTTAACTGGCAGGGCTGTGCTTTACGCTCTGGGTGTGCTTTATGTATAAGTGCACAACAGTGACATGCAGAGCATAGCAACCTTCCTGGGAGGGCCTATAGGCAATAACAACCAGTTGACTAATCAACACAGGGCAGGTCATCCAAGCCCAGAATCACACCAATCCTGAGACTGTTGCATACCCCTAGACACGCCCCTTATGCTACCCAATATATCACACACACACACACACACACACACACACACACACACACACACACACACACACACATACACACACACCCTGCCTCATGGTTTCTCGGGGTCTTTTCTCCAGTCATCTGCTGTGGTGAATGGATGAAAGGCCCCAGATAAAGAGGCTAGCGCCTTAAACAACTACAATAAAAGACTCTTTGCTTTTTGCATAAAAATGGGTCTCTTGGTGATTTGGGGGTTTCAGAAGTTGGGCACACTTGAGGGGTCTGTGTATCCTTCTTGGTACTTAGAACAACTATAGCACACAGCAGATGCTCAACAAATATTAGGTAGGTGCATTAGTTATTTTTTTTTTAATTCCTGCAATGAAAAAACCATGGCCAAGTCAAACTCATATAAGAAAACATTTAAGCCAAGCATGATGGCACATGCCTTCAACTCCAGCACCAGGGAGGCAGAAGCAGGCAGATGGTTCCAGGACAGTCAGAACTACATTACATAGAGAGATACTATCTTAAAAAAAGAAAGAGAGAGAGAGAGAGAGAGAGAGAGAGAGAGAGAGAGAGAGAGAGAGAGAGAAAAGAAAAAATTAATTTGGGGGCCCAATGTTCCAGGGGGCTAGCATCTATGACTATATGACTATCGTGACAGGGAGCATGACAGCACACAGGAAGGCATGGCTCTGGAACAGTAATTGTGAGCTTACACCTAATCCAGAAGCACAAGACACAGAGAGAGCTAATGGGGAATGCTGTGGATTTTTGAAACTCAAAGCCCTGCCCCAGTGACACACCTCTTCCAACAAGGCCACACCTCTTAATCCTTCCCAGACAGTTCCACCAAGCATTCAAATATATTAACCTATGGGGTCCATTCTCATTCAAACCATCACAGGAGGTAAAGGCATAAATTAAGTGATGAACTGAGAGTATTAAAATAAGAATGCTGAGAGATGCCGAGTATAAACTGACTCAGAACCATCAGTTTGTGATGAGGAAAATGGAGGAATGAGCATGCAAGATTTTGGTTTTTGTGGAAATGGCTAGGATTTACTTCCCTTCTCTCTGTGCTTTTCTTAAACACTTTCATATTATGCACCTGCTCACTTAGTTGTTCAGAACGTATGTATTGCCTGCTCCTTGCTAGTCACCATACAAAAGTGCAGTTAAAATTACTATCAGGACTTAAATTGTCAAAAGAATCATGATTGAGAGAATGGCTAGATTTTTGTTCTTGTTTTAATTTGTTTTGTTCTGATGTCTGATGAGACCAGGTTTTGCTATGTAGCTCAGGCTGGCCTGTAACTCAAAAGCCATCCAACCTCAGCTTACCAAATTCTGGGATTAGAGCCAAGTATTAGCACATTCAGCTGCCATTATTGCTCACTAAGCACTGTGCTTCAGATGTGTCACTAAGCAATTTACCCCCTTGTCTCTTTTCAGCAACTGAGCATAGTCCTTCCTTTGCACCCACTGTACAGACACAAAGTTGGAGCTCATGTTAGGTTAAGCAGCCTGCCTTAGTTACAACAGTGGAGAATGAAGGCAGCCAGATGCACTTCTTTGACCTTGACTTTTGTGCTAAGTTTCTTTATCTCAATTTTTTCCCACTCCTTA